AGGAGGAGCATCCTCCACCACTACACTCCCTATTCCTGCAGCTTTTTGTTAAAGAAACATGTAAATTCGGTTAAAATAACAAAAACTGCCAGCTGCAGAAGGCCCTGGGGAGAGCCAAAATGAACCTAAAAAAAAATCAGGTTTTTTGCCCAGAGGAGTTATTAAATGTGGAAGTCTGGAAGGAAAGCCGCTGTGCTGAAAGGGGGCTGCTGGCTTTCTGCTTGGGGTTCAGCCACAGGCACCACAGGGCTGGTGGTACCCAGAGCCACTGTCACCGAAACCGGTGTCTGCTGCGGCAGCTGATCCGTCCTCCTCCCTCGAGGACTGGCCACAGCCTCACGCGGGCAGGAGCACATTGAACTCGGTGGTATAAAAAGAAAACCACCAAGAGATGCTACTAAGTAAATCTACAGCTACAACAGAGCACGGAGGGTAAGGAGAGAGAGGAACAGCCCTGAAGTAAACTGAAAAAGGAGGAACAATCCCTGCAGTTTCTTTCTTTTCAATAATTCTTGAGTTTCTTTCCACACTGTCCTACAGTCCCAAAACATTTTCTTTTGGTAGCTTACAGAAAACAGCTGGAAAGAACTTAAAGGGAGCAGAGGCGGCAGCCACGGCAAGAAAGAGTTCCCATTTCTGTGCTGCAGAAATATGCAGGAGGAGCATCTCAGCAGAAAAAAAAAAACCAAAAAACTCTGGAAAAGGCAGATAAAACCCATCTGTAAGTTATGGCTGGCAGCCCCGAGGGAGCAGAGCTCTGACCCCGCAACAAGCCCAGGCCAGCACCTGGGTCCTGCTTCAGTCATCCGGGCAAGAGGGATAACAAAGAAAGTGTCCAAATATTTTATTCTTCACAAGTTACATTAACCACATATTACTTTATGGAGCATTTACAAATCATTTTTTTCTTGATATTAATCTTCAGATATAACCTGCTCACTCACACCACTGGGTCTGCTGAAAGAGCGCCATCCATCTCACACCCACCTCCAGACCAGACGCGCTGCCCAGCAGTCAGGCCATGAACACGCCTTCCCCACCACAAATCGAGTAACTACTTTAAAAACAACGCTGAGGTCGATATAAAAGTCTCTGGCCTCAACTAGTGACTTCTAGGGGAACTGGCCAGAGCTTTCTGTTCGCCCAAGGAAGGACGCAGGTAACTCCAGAGGGGGGGAAGCTGCGGGTCGCTCAAGTTGGCTACAGGAGCTTTTTCCATATGCTGAGGCATAACCCCTCCTCGCCAATCCCCCACGCTGAACCAGCAGCCACTTGATTTCTTACTATCCAAGCAGCATTTTTATTCCTTCTGCTCTCTGCTCAGGCGCCCTCTGTTCCCACCATTAGCACAGTCAACCAGGTTGATTACTTACATGCATAAAAGACAGATTAAAAAAGCAGAAGGAAAAAAAAACCTTTTAAACACCAAAAACATCATATCTTTCTTACTGTCCACCTGACTAGTTCACAGATTGGATCATTCCAACAACATAGCCATAACTACTAAACACTAGACAAATTTTGTCAGACTGGGAAAGAACCCCAAGAAGTGTAGCTGGGAACACCCACTAAAGGAGCAGTCGCGTGTTCTTCCTGGCCAGTCCCACCCCCCGACACATTTACACTAACCTTTGAGAGGCAACCACTAAACTCCCGTGTATTAACAACGCTGGCAATGTTGCTACAGACCTGAATGAGAAACGCAGTGAATCTAATCAACAGAAACCCTGTTCCTGGAGGCAAGAAGATCCTGTGATCTCCAGAGTGTTCAAACACTACCGTCTCGTAACCGGCAGAAGGATTAAACGGGGCAGGACGGGGGTTAGGTAGGACTTGAACACTTCTTTGAAGTGGCACGCAGGCAGGAAAGTGAAGACGTCCTGTAGTGAAGAGTGCATCGTTCTTCAAAAACGGGTTAAAAAATTCCCATGTAGCAAATAACATAGAAATGTAACAGTGTAGTTAATTTTCTGAGTTTCTTTAGAAAGACTGTTGATGCTGGTTTGTGTTCAGCTTGCTGGATCTTCCAGAAGAAAAAAAGACTAATGGAAAGGCTGGCAGGCAGGAAAGTGAAGACGTCCTGTAGTGAAGAGTGCATCGTTCTTCAAAAACGGGTTAAAAAATTCCCATGTAGCAAATAACATAGAAATGTAACAGTGTAGTTAATTTTCTGAGTTTCTTTAGAAAGACTGTTGATGCTGGTTTGTGTTCAGCTTGCTGGATCTTCCAGAAGAAAAAAAGACTAATGGAAAGGCTGAGGGGGAGGAGCATTTTTTAGGGAAAGAAAGCGTGAATCTGTCTTTAACATGCAGGTCATATAAAGTATTTTGTTTTTCCATTTTTTTTCCCCCTCTTGGACACTTCCAACTCAAGAAATGGCAACACGCACATGGCTTCCAGTTTTTAAAGCAAAGAACATAGTTCCCAGGGACTGCGCTGCAGAGACAGGAAGACAAGACATTTGCAAATTCAATATTTAAGAAAATAAAGCGTCCCTTTAACGACTGTGAACACTAGATAATGAAACTCAAATATTTAAGAAAATAAAGCGTCCCTTTAATGACTGTGAACACTAGATAATGAAACTCGTTTGTCCATCACACAATGTGTGAGGGAAGTTCTCATTCACCACACCTCAGGGCCGCGCCTTGCATCTGAGGCACAGTACTAGCAGAGAACCCAGTCTGTATGGAGGGGAGACACACCAAATCACTAAATTAAGGCACAAGACAGATATTGCAGCCAAATACATAAATTTCCACTCAGCTGGCCACAGTACAGCCGCACTGTTTGTCCATCACACAATGTGTGAGGGAAGTTCTCATTCACCACACCTCAGGGCCGCGCCTTGCATCTGAGGCACAGTACTAGCAGAGAACCCAGTCTGTATGGAGGGGAGACACACCAAATCACTAAATTAAGGCACAAGACAGATATTGCAGCCAAATACATAAATTTCCACTCAGCTGGCCACAGTACAGCCGCACTCCCAGCTACAGCCTCACCTGGAGTGCTCATTCCTGTTCATCCCTGCTGATCTTCGTTACTGGCACTTGGAGTTCGACTCCTAATCTGGCTTCGTAGCTGCTCTATTAGTTCAGGATTCTGCTGCTGCATCTGCTGAGCGAACTGCTGGCCCCTGAAGAACAAGCAACAGTCCTATTAGTGCTCTCACACACACAAACACAGACTGGTGCTAGGAAATTCTTTACAGCTGATTGTCAAAACTCTACTCTAACAAGTAGTTCACATCACCAAAAGAGGCAGTACTTCACCCGACATTGAAGCCTTCCTCAGCTGTTAAATTAAGGTTCCAATTCTGGTCAGAAAAACACAAAATCCATTTACTGACCAAGGCAATGGGAAACACCCAGCTCTCTACTCACGCTTGTATGAGGCTGGCGAGATCATTCGTGGAGGGGCTGGTGCCTGCTGCTCCCATGGCATTGTGGCCACCAGAAATCATCCCGGACATGCTGTGGAAATAAGTCATTGCTCAGAGGAGGAAAAAAATCCACAGAAATTGTTTGGTTTACGCTGGGAGGGGAGTGTCAGTGTAATGGGAGCACCTTCCCACACAGATTATGGAGTTATCTGCAAGGGAATCTTCTGCAACAACTTTTTGTACATTAACTGCAGAAGAGTAACTGTAACCTTAAACCGCACAATATGTAGAAATATTTATAATAGCATCAGTTACTGTATTCCCAGAGATTCCCCCTTTTGTGTGCAAGCCCTGTGTTATGTTTATTTAATTAAAATACTGCCCTTCCTCACACAAGCTATTTGCTTGCTCTGCATCAAACGAGCTCTAAGAGGACAGCCAAAACACGGATTCACTCACGGTGAACAGCCCAGCATACACTGGGTCTACACAGCCCCCTCCTCTGGAAGTCCTCAGGCTGCATCTGGCACAAAAACTCATCTGGCAACAGCAGTGGAAGGAGCAGGCAGAAGCAAATGGAAATGGTGGCTGACATTCAGCCCTTTAGCCAAATTATCTCATGTGGTAATCAAAGGATGAGCTCCAGGAGGTCTCTAACTCACTGCCTCCTTGTGCTCTGAAAGGATGGTCAGGAGGTACGTGCCTTATTAGTTTTATGACTTTACATTATCTAAGCATCTCACAGACATTGTGAGCTGATCCTCATAACCCTGTAGCACAAAGAATGGAAATATTCTCATTCTAACCGAGACAAAGATGTGAAATCCTGTCTCTAGGTCACACAAATACCGTGCAGCAGAGCCAAACTGACCCCAAGCTTCCCAAACCCAATTCCGGTGCCACGATCCATCCTGCCTCGCTTCTGCAAGCGTTTATACTAAGATCCCTCTTCAGCAGAGTCCAGAGTACTCAAAATACACCCTAGCTCAGGCAACTGGACTGGCTTAAAGGCTGTTCTCCGTACTTCTGGCCCAACCACCCTCCCCCTCCCACCAGTTCAGACCTACTGCAAATGCCAAACACACACAGAGCCCCAAATGAGCAATTCAAAGAGGAAATACAAGATGGGATCAAACTTACAGCTGTTGTACTTGTGGATTGTTCATTAGGTTAGATGCCTATTTAAAGAGGGGAGAAAAAAAATGACACTCTATTTAGTCAGAAATGACTGGGTAGATATGCAGATGTTGCGCCATTCAACTACAAACAAAGTGAAGGCAGAAATACTTGGAAACAGATCAATAGGACAAAAATAGCTAAGAGAAGCACAGTGCAACACACAAGGCTGGTAATGCAGAACAGGCACCCGTTCCACATCCAGCATATCGCAAGGAGAAGCCTGTGAATAAGTCACTGGCTCTTCATTTGACCTTCATGAAATACAGGCATAGTTTCTTCACAGCAACACTGAAACCAAGAAATGAAATGAAAACAAATCTGCTAAAGAGACACAGGAGCTCCCCACGCCATGTACTGATACATTTCATCCTGAACAGACCAACGCGCAGACCACACAGCCTGGCTGTGATCTGTGTCCAAGTTTACCATACTCATGAAGCCGGGGTTGTTCAGCAAGCCAGCTAAATCGAATCCTCCTGGACCTCCAGTCTGTAAGAATAAAGAAGTCAGACGCAGATGATGACATCCTCTCACTTTCTGATGCACGTTACAATGAACATTATTTTAATACTTTACTCCCAGCGTTATCAGAATCTGGCCTTTAAACCACAACAAAGGGAAGAGGCTCTGTCCATACCCTTTCTGTAGAGTCTGCAGCCTCCCGGGATTAGGCTCACTAAGGGAGTCAAAGGGCAGATGTCTGCATTACATGACTTACTGATCCCTCCTCACCAGCTGAGCCACATTAGCGATGTACAGCTGTAACCCATTACAATTGCCAAGTTAAACACATCCACTTGGTCACCTTTGCACCAGAGAAGTCTTTAGAAAATTAAAATCCCCTTCAAAATGATAAATTAACATGTTCCTGCACAGAGCATGTCAGCAGTGCAGTCACTAGCTTTCTGGCTAGGAAAGCTCCAGGTTTCTTAAGGAAAAAAAATAAATCTTTGTAAGAAAAAAAGCCACATAAAACATGGTCATTACTACTAACAGGTCACTAGAAAAAAAGAGCTGGATTTTAGGAGTAGTAATTTTAATTAAGAAAAGTGCTTAAGGCAAAATTGCTGTTTCAGAACACTCCTTTCTCATCAGTCTCATTTTCCAGCTCTTTCAAATAAGCCCAAGGTGACTGTGCTCAAGTAGTGAAGAGAAGTTACCCTCTCTGGATTTCAGTGGAAACATTCACAGCAGGACTCATTAACTATCTCCCCTCTGTCTGCATACAAGATTTGTATTCTAAACACAGCCCAGCTCATCAAGGCTCTGCCAGACAGCACCTGTTAGCACTTACAGTGAAGCAGCCTCCTTCTAATCTTAACCACATATAACAAGCATTAGTTTCAGAACTTACTGGACTAGGAGTCTCCTTCATTTTCTGTTCAGCTATTTTAAGGTTTGATTTGTATGTGTCATTGTCTGGATCCAGCTCCAGCGCTTTTTTGTAGTAAACAACAGCTTCTGTGTGTTTATTTAAACTGGAGAGGGCCAAGCTATTAAAGTGGAAATAAAATAAAAAGTCACAGGGTTAGATAAGCATTTGCAGTCTTCCTCCACCCCCAGCAGAGGTGAAACACTAGGTATTTTTGCATGGCATTCTAGGGCAGAACACCACCAATAGTATCACCGCCACAAGGCATTTTGAGATTAAAACTCCAGCACAAAAAACCTGCTCTTACTTACCCCATTCTGCCATAAGCTTTGCTGTAGTTTGGATCAATGCCTATAGCTCTTTCACAGTCTCTTACTGCTCCAGCATAATTTCCTAGTTTACTGTATGCAGCAGCTCTGGAAGGAATGGAGAAAGATGTGCAGAAAAGACTCATCAGCTTGAATATATTGATCAAGGTCACCCCTGTTCCCTCTCTGTGGTCTCCTGTTGTACATGGCAAAGTCAAGTGTGAACTTGACATAAATCCAGGCCGTATCTAGGTGAGCAGGCTGCTATCCAAACACCCAGCTCCATGTTCTGCTCCTACTACAAATAAATCTAGGCTCTTACTCCTCCTTATGGACCTTCCAGGAGGAGCCTGGGCACACAAGAGAGGCACACAAGTATCACACTCAGCTCAGACAGTCTCCCTCAGCTTCCCTTATGCCTTGATTTCTTAGTCATAACAACTCTTTTATCCATTTCCCCACACAAAAGGGAAAACTGTTTTTGAAGCCATAACATGCTCATTCAAGCCTCAACCTCACAGCTCTTACAGACATCAGGGCACCTGCCCAAAACCTCATGGAAGTGACCCTAATGTAGCTAAAGCAAAGCTAAAAGCACTAGTTGCAGTTCCTTGCCCCAAGAAATACCTCACCATGTCATTAGCATGTCTGCAGACACGTTATTCATGTAGCCAGCTGTACATATGTACTCATGGTAAGCACATAACTAAAACAAATCCCGATTCCAAGTCTATCTTATTCAACAATTGTCTTCCCACCAACTTTCAAACACTTTTGCTTAGAACTGAAAAATAGGAAATTCGCTCACATACCCAATTCTGCACACACATCAACTTATGTAATTCTCAGTAATGAGCCTTCAACTTGTCTCATTTCACCCCTTTGTTTTTATTATCAACACAGCCTCTGAAACCTGGGCTCTTAGAGTTAATTGCATGAAAGCAGACAGTACTTCCTGGCATCCTTATATCTCCTCAAATGCCTAATAGACTTTGTTTCCACACCCACATCCTATCTAGAGACGCCAGGGCACAGAGCTGGCAGGAGGCACAGGCATGTGTCACTATTGAGCTTAAAAAAAAAACCACACAAAGAGCAAGCAACAGAACAAGCAATCTACAGAATTGTAAAAAAGGGATTTTGATCATTCAAGAGTCTTAGATATAAGTAGTAACAAAAATACAGGTGTCCAAGGGTGAAGAAAGACAATCAGTACCTGTTGCAAAAATACACAGCATTGGATGGATTTAACTCAATTGCTTTTCCATAGAAAGATACAGCAGCTTCAAAGTTTTCTGCCTTCATTTGTTCATTTCCTAAACAGATGGCGGAAAGGCTCATTAACAAGTGAAAAATGGGGACAAAGAAAAGTAACACGCCTGGATCTACGTTCTACTTAAGAAAATAGAACAAGAGAGAAACTAACCACTTGCAACTTTTGCTGGTCAATCAAACTGCTTGCAAGCATGAGGCATGTTCAGCAGCGAGGTGGGGGACCTATGCCTTGGCAGTTCCTTGGCCTGATCCTGCAAGCCCCCTTATCACCCCCAGCTCTCCTCCCACCTCGGGCACACCTGAGGCCAACCCAAAGCAGCACCATATCCTGAAAAGCACTGCAGTGCATTGTCTCAGAGAAAGCTCTCTGTTGTACTTCAGCACTAATCACTGACAGAGAAAAGGCAACACGCAGAGGAGAGCTCAACAGGAAAGATGCCCTGTTATACACAGCGCAGGTCTTAGGATGCAAAAGAAAATGCTGACCCAGCTGTCTATCTAGACTCTGTGGCAGCTAAATTATGCCAACCTACACACACTCCTGGAGCACAAGCAGAGAAACAAGCAGAAATGGAAGGACTGATCCCATTTCTTCCCCCCCCCATTCCAAGCATTCCCCAGGTGCCAAGTGAATTAAGCCTCCCTCCTCATTATCATCTAAACCTCATTATACACCAGCTCCAGAGGAGGTTACCTTCAGTCTTGAGTCTTTCAGCTTCAGCTATGTCATCTTCAGAGGGGGTGATGGGCTCTGAATTTGTTCTGATGTGTTCAGGCTCCTTACAAGGAAAGGGAGAACACTGCGATAAGGATTCCCACTGAGATGTACTACACCTCCCCCTTCCCAAGCCCAAAACATTTCACTCCCACACACCTCCGAGAGGGCAGCATCACCACAGAAATCAAGCAGAACTCATTGCTTTGGCTGCTTAAATGGAAACTCAGCACATATTTTAGGGCACTCGCTCACCTTTCCTGCAGCAGCTTCAAATATTTCAGGAAGAGTCTGGGACACAGCTAGGCCTTGGTCTTCCATCGAGACCCCAAATGCTGTCTCCAGGCACTGGATGGCCACTGGACAAGAAGAGTCAGGTAATTAGCTTTCCTCACTCCATCTAAATACTTAGCTTCCTCCCATAGCACCTGAATTCCTTACTGTTGAACATACCAGAGAAAAAAAACACCCTAAACCACACAATTTCACATACCAGACTTGATATTCAGGCCATATCCTCAAATTTTGCCAAAATCTCAGAGCTGGGCAAACCTTAGCTCTTGAGATCAAGTCAGTCACAACTCCCACCCCCTCAGGTGACACCAGAGCAGGTGCTGGGGGTAGAAGTTAATCAAGCTGGGGTTTTACTAGCCTTCCCACAGCTGTGGGTGGCAAAGAGCAAGGAGGGATCTGCAGAAAGTGGTCACTTGCCAGAGGGTGGCTGCTCTGTGAAGCGCTGTGGCCATGCAGAGGTGCGCGAACACCAAACAACGGGTCCTGCAGGGGCTGTGGCTGCCCCCACCTCCTTCCTCATCGGGAAGCTGTTCCCAGCACAGAGGGACAGCCCAGCAACATTAACAGAGCTCAGTTTTACAAAACTCTCGTGACGTATCTTACAGTCCAAAAGCACCAGGAGTAAACCGCTCCTTCCTCCCAACACCCTCCTCCCACCCTCTTCTCCTGCCTCGCCCAGGAATGTACCCACCACTCCGCAGACGTGCCTGTGCTCTCTTTCAGTGGGACAAACGTACAGGCCAAACACTAAGCTCCTTAAGTGGATCTTTTAAGATCAGCCTGCTCTCATTACCAGCGAAGCCCTCTGAAAAAGCTTGTATAAATACTCCAGGGCATACTGTGAAAAAGCATTTTGATAGCAGAACGGGAAAAGCACTCTGCAAGTATAAAACACTTCCATACAGCCACAAAGTTCTCATTTTACACTACGAGCCTCCTGACTCCACCTCATTTAAGATAAAACTTTTAAGTCACAAACCCAGGGTCAGGGAGGCTTTTGATATATCCCTTCCTCAAGCTAATCTGCTTTTGAAAGAGATAACAAGAAATCAGACAAGCAATCAGCATCCCTAATGCCCTGGATACCCCCCAAGAAGACAAATTCATTTCAAATCTTGAGCAAGGTTTGATGTTAGGAACAGCCCAGCCAAGTAAGAGGCAGAGGAGGGTAACAGTGACCAAATTTCCCCAAGTGTTGTCCCCAAGACCTAGACACGTGAACAGGGAAGCACATGCAACCACCCACCTTCCAAACTCTCCTGAGCATCTGGAGACAGACCCCCATTCTGTAGCTGGTCATGTAGAAACTGGATGATGGAGTAGGCAAGGCGCTTCTGGTCTGCCATTCTGGGAGGCTGCGAGCAGTTTGTTTCAACTTCTTGTAACTTTAAAAAAAATAATCTGTAGAGAGAGATTATATGACTTGATGGACAAGAAGTCAAAGAGCTTTTCTGCTGCTCTCCCCTGGTATGAAAGGAGAGGATAAGGGAGTTGTTCAGGATCGGCCAAGGCCTCCAGAGCCTTCATTAAACTCTCTGCTGTAACCACGACCCCTTTAAGTGAACCCTCCAGGCCTCAATTCACCTTCTTCAGCGTGAGCTGCACAGCACAGCCCTGCCAAGAGAAATACATTGAAAGTGTTGCAGGCATGTGGGTCACCAAAATGTCTCTGACGGACCAGGACTAGATAAACTGAGCACTGAGGAGTTCACCACTAAAAGACCACAGACTTCGGCTTCCAGACCATAATTTGATTCTGAAACAAAAACAAGGGCTGAAGCAATTCGCCACTGTGAGCAGAGCTGGGGTTCAGGGCTGCCCATCCTCCGCACTGCTTGCAAGCCTACCCTGCCAGGATGCCAACAGTAAAGGAGAGTGAGGACTCAAAGCAAAGCAACCCCCATAAGCACACCCCAAGGCTGGGGCTTCGCAAGGATCCCAGTGCGGGTCCTGTAAGCAGGACAGACGCGTGGCACTGCTGCTGAGCTGAAGTACTCTGCTTCTCCAGAACGGTTTGTAGCACAGAAAACCATTTAGGGTCATTTAATAGAGAAACTAAATGGCTTAAACACAACCACTGTAACAGAGAGCCCCACAGAGCTAAGCTGGCCCCAACCCACTGAAAGACACCAGAGATACCACCGGTCCCAGGCACAGACAGGCACCGCGGTGGGTGCCTCGGGTAAGAGTCTGTGCCAGACTCCCAGCCCCAGCGACAAGCGAGGCCAGAGAGCCCCAGACCCTCCCGGCCCCCCGGGGGCAGGCAGAGAGGAGGGAGGCACCTGTCCTCACCCACAGCACCGGGTCCCTGACTACAGTCCAGGCCGCCGGTGCCCCAAGGGAGGCAGGCCTGAGGGGCGCGGCGGGCCCTGGGCCACCTCCCCGCCCCCGGCAGGGCAGCCCCGTTCACACACCGCTTCGTGGGGAGACGGGAGCACCGGGAGGGCTCTCCCTCCCGGACAGGGGAACGCGCCCGCAGCCCAGGGCCTGAGGAG